AATGGTACTGTCAGTTAGCTGAGTTTCTTCCCGTTAATCTGGTATGAAAAGAAAACCTGCAGCCCCTCTACCGGGGCTCTCGCGCTTAACAGGTTAATGTGTCATACTCACTTAACGGTTAGAAACTCAGCTAACTGAAGATATGAACCATTTTTATCAAGATGGTATCAGCAATTGGTATCAGTAAAATGTATAATCTACAATAAAATCTCGTTTAAAATTGTGTTGTGATGTCTAAAGTTACTGATAAATCACATATTTCCTGCCTGTCCTTGCCCGTGTATCATTACCCTCTCTTGTCTGGGCGCTATGCACAGCGCCCAGACGAGAGTGCAGCAAGTGCAGCAGAAGCCAACTGTTGCTATCTTTAAACTATGCCGCCGAAATATAATTTCAGCCAATCAGCGTCGTCAAATCTGATGGTCACAGGGCGCCTACGTCAGCGCCCGGTGCAGTCTGTGAGTTGTTTGGACTTGTATCCAAGGAGACAAAACAGGAAGCTGTCATACACTCTGGAAGCTATCATTAGCAGCTACAGTAATAGGAAAACTCAGTTTTTTACATAAAAATGTAATTATGGATTATCAATAAAAAAATGTAATTGACGGACACATTGGATTAACCATCAGTTGCGTTTTTCTCGTTTTTGATCAGAATAACAGCAAAAGGTGAGCATATCTCCGTGTTTTGCTACCTAAAGCTACGTCGTGTGATGTCTGTATTTGCTTCCCCTGTCGCGAGTTCTGATCGCTCAGTGATGATACTTATATTTCTAGAATCTGTGGAATCTCAGCTTGTTAGCTAAGCTTGTTTGTGCATATCCGATAAGTATATCGATTGATTTCTACCTAGAGTGCGTTAGCATATTTTTGCTCAGGACTCATTTAGACGCTTCTTGTGAGACTTGTGTTTTGTTTCGGTAAACATGGTTCATATCATTAGTTAGCTGAGTTTCTTGAATGAGTAGGACACATGAATAGTTTATTACATTTTCTGAAGCCCTGAGACACAGTTTAGTGAGAAAAAAAACGGGGTGGAAAAGCCAGGTTAAATGGGAATGAAATAATTGTAAGTAATTTTGAGTGTTCCCAAAGCCCCGGTGTTCTGCAGTTTGTGTGGGCCTACTGTACTGTTGCAGAGTTTATAGAAACTATGTCCAGGACAAGGTGTTTGTAAGTTTTGGAAGATTCATAGCTAACCACACTGAAGATTATGGAGGTATTGATCAGTCTTCTCATATTTTTAAGCCTCAATTAGTCCCCCCCCCCCTCTAACATCACCAGAAGTCATAATTTAAGGGGTCTTTTCTCAAAAATGTCCACAGCCCCACCTAAAATATTTTCCACCAGCCGCCACTGATAAACAAGTCTCTTCACTCAGGTGTATTTCAACAGGCCCTGCAACTGCAGTCATTAAACCGCTCTTCAAAATAATAACTTAGATACTTCAGTAATGAACAATTACAGGCCCATATCAAACCTCCCATTTCTAGGTAAAATCATTGACACAGTTGTTTTTTAAAAGCTGAGTAATTTACTGCATTTAAATAACTTTGGATGTTTTCCAGTCAGGCTTTCGTCCAAACCACAGCACTGAGACTGCTCTTGTTAAGGTCTTTAATGACATCCACTTAAACACAGACAGTGGCAGAACTTCAGTGTTAGTATTATTAGATCTCAGTGCTGCGTTTGACACTGTTGACCACAACATATTACTAGACAGTGCAAAATTGGTTTGAATCCTACTTAAAGGACAGAAACAACTTTGTCTCTATAGGTAAATACCAGAGGTGGGAGTAAGTCCTACATGTGCAAGTCATGAGCAAGTCTCAAGTCTTAACCCACTATTCTCAAGCAAGTCCCGAGTCACTGTGCTGAGAGTCAAGTCAAGTCATTGCTCAGGTGAAGCAAGTCAGAAGTCAAGTCATACGAAATTCTGATGAATAACCGCAGTTTCCGCATTTAAATCAGTTAAAATATTGTGGGTATGAAAAGTTGTGTTTTATTTTCAACATAAACAGCAATGGAGAGTGGGGCGCTGAAATTATACCCCGATCAATTCTAAAAGGGCTCTAAAGTGAAAACAGGAGTACAACACAAATATGTTACATCAACATGTTAAGCCTCCTGCCCTGGCTCCCCTTCAGCAGGATCACAGCATTCCTCCATGGTCTGTCTAAGGTGCTCCCATATGACACTGTCTCATTGTGTTCCTACTGTAACTGTGTCTGTGCACAAAGAAATATTGCATCAAAGCCAATACAACGGAATAGTGTATGTACCAGGGTGCATGATATGTGTGTGTTTGTGTGCAGACAGTGCGACATTAAGATTAAACACATTTCTTTCATTTGGGAACACCCACCACATATACATATGGAGTTGAAGTACTGTTCATGGTAATTTCAAAACAAATGCCGTTGTTGGACACACACAACCACAGCGAACACACACACAGAGCAGAGCTGAGCAGAGCACAAAAACACACACACACATCATGCGCCTTAGTGACCGGACATCTCCTTCATAAAACGAGTAGGGGATTGATCGGGCAGTTTGATGTGTGTGTGTGTGCAGAGGTGTATGTGGTTAAAACTTAGCAGCCAGCGGTCGCTCTTTAGCTGTTCTAATGAAAGTAAACACAGTGAAGGCGCTGTTGCTGCTCTTCTCAGAGGCGGAGTTACACGTCCCGCTGCCTCCTGGTGCTGTAGCGATTTCATGAAGTGAATGAGTGTCCGAGTTCGAAATATATCTAAAATAATGTATGCACTGCCATTTCCCAACATAAACATTACAGTCTGCAATGAAACGGTTGTCTCCTGTGTGCTCCTCTTCCTACTTGGCGCTCCGGTAACTTTCTCTTGCGAACGAGATACAGTGTCTTTTTTTTCATTGCCCTTTAGGGGCTCCCTACAATACAAAAACAAATACAAATATTTAATTTTAAAAAGTAAAGTGCTTTCGAGTCATCTGTCTCAAGTCAAGTCTCAAGTCATGAATACCAAGTCAAAGTCAAGTCTTTTATCAATGTTAGTCAAGCAAGTATCAAGTCCAAAAATATGCGACTCGAGTCTGACTCGAGTCAAGTCATGTGACTCGAGTCTGACTCGAGTCAAGTCATGTGACTCGAGTCCCCCACCTCTGGTAAATACACATCTGAGTTGACAAATATGACATGTGGGGTTCCTCAAGGCTCCATCTTGGGGCCTCTTCTCTTTAACATCTACATGCTCAGATAATGAAGAACAACAAAATAAGTTACCATAGCTATGCAGATGACACACACATTTACATAACCATTTCACCAGGAGACTATGCTCCAATTCAAACACTGAGTAAGTGCATTGAACAAATCAATGACTGGATGTGTCAGAACTTTCTCCAATTAAACAAAGATAAAACTGAGGTAATGGCTTTCGAGCCAAGGCAGAACGTATAAAAGTTAGCGCTGAGCTTCAGTCTGCAATGTTCAAAACAACAGATAAAGCCAGAAATCTAGATGTAGTCATGGACTCTGATACCTCAAGATACCTACATTTTAGTTATTTAGACACAATTAACACTTATAGTTTAATGTCTTGTTACATAAGAATAGATCATATTTGTTAAGTGTTATGATGGGAGAATTACTATTCTTGTGGTAGTAGTGTCTTATTGGGCCCATATTGAGCAGAGCATAGTAAGACCAAAACTCATGTACAGCAACTTCCTTACTTGCAATAAATAAGCACTAATTAGAGTGTTATTGAGGAAAAACTCTCAACTATTGGCTTATTACTTGTAGAATATGGTCATGTAAAATAAGGCATTAATAAGTGTTTTATAATGACTAATACAGAGCCTATAATATGCATGTTACTTAACAACTAGTTGATGGTTAATTTGTGTACCTTAATATGAAGTGTTAAAAAAAATTATTTTAATGTTTGTTTTTATTATCTTTGCTTTTTAATGACTGTTTTTAAATGCCATTTTCTGAATGTCTTTCATTTTTGTAAAGCACTTTGAATTGCCTTGTGTTGAAAGGTGCTATATAAATAAACTTGCCTTGCCTTGCCTGCACACACTGAGCATGCTTGTGCTTGTAAATACATTGTTTGTATATTGTGTTTTGAGCTCGGTCAAATATACTCATACACATACTCAAGTGCTCTACTTAAATACATTTTGGTTGTACTTTTACTGATCTTGAGATGTTCCATGTAATGCTTACTTAGTATCGTGAAATTACAAAGGAAATGCAAAACACTGTTGGCAAATGAATAATAGATTGCTGCACCCTTCTACTGCCGCTTACATGTGAATGCTTATGTTGAGTAGAAATACTATCAATACTTTTGAGTACATTTTGAAGATACAGCTATGGAGAAAATGAAGAGACCACAGCAGCATTACGAATTATACTGGTTTGACTATTTATAGTTTTGTGTTTGGGTAAAATTAACCTATTTTTTTTTTTATTGTATTCTATGAACTAGTGACAACATTTATCTGTGTTAAAATGCAACAGACACTGGAATGTAATCGCTGCTATACATGTAGCATTGATTTGGGAAATAGTGATTTAAAGACTTTGGCAGATTTTTTGCAAATATAGATATACCAGTACAAATTAACTATATGCAGTTACAATGTGCAATGTGCTAAATGTGGGGGGTTGTGCAGGACTGATAGTGTTGAAGAAGATTTTGAACTAGTGGATGAAGCAAATGTTCAATGGTCTAATAAATCAAGAAAGAAGCAGGGTCATTTTCTCATGGACAAAACAATGTGGGGGGGTGCGCAACAATCTAAAATATAAAAAGAGGAATCAGCTCTAAGCACCCACTGAAACTACAGTACCTGCTGAAAGTTAGAGTAAAATAACTGAGAATAATTCAGCGACACCCTTTGTTAAACATGTCACATATGACTTATATAGTTTATATTCCATGTCCTTTGTGTTGAATAATGTTATATTAGTTGTTGATAATTGGAATGTCCTGTGTTTGATGGTTTCAGTTGGCTACACCATGAACGACCTGATCTTTGAGTGGCAGGAGAATGGACCTGTCCAAATTGCTGAAGGCCTTACACTGCCACAGTTCCTGCTCAAAGATGAATCAGACCTCAGATACTGCACCAAGCACTACAACACAGGTGACACACACCCACTCAAACACAATCTCACACTCACTCACACACACACACTGCCATAAGCAGCATGACACAGTACCGTAACACACACACACACACACACACACACACACACACACACACACACACAATCAGTGGCGGCTCCGGAGTATTTGTGTTGGGTAATCTATGGTAGGGCTAACCCATACAGTGGTGGGGCTCAAGTCAGTATTTGCAATGTAATTACATACCCGCTCCCCTTGACAGTGAAACGCCACGCGTGAGGTTCAGATTATTTCCCTGTCTCAATCCAAATTGAACTGTATGAAATAAAAAGGCACATTTGTCTTGTAGTAAATAAAAAGGGTGACCTGGAGCCAATCCTGCAATTTCCCCACAAGTGAAAGAGTTGACATGCTGAAAACCCAACCCCTGCAGGGGGGTCTGGGGGGATTCCCCCCCAGGAGATTTTTTGAAATACTAACATAAAATACACATTCTGGTACTCTCTTGAGAAGACAAATAAATACATCTATTACTACACGACATATTTAAAAAAAATTAATGGTATTTCATTTTGTGTTACTTTGTTCTGAAAGCTGAACCTGCTGCTCCTCACAGAGAGAAGAGGGAAGAGCCTGTGTGAATGACTTTACATTGTGGATAAGGGTGGATAGCCCCCATTGTTCTGTGTGTCAAAATGAAAGACAGCCCACACACCTATCAATCATCAAACCGTGGGGTCTGATTTCATTACGTGTTGATTTCTATCAACACGTAATGTTGTATTGATGTATCGGGACTTCCTGCAACAACACCACGCCGTTATCTTGATTCTGATTGGCCAGAAGATATTATCAAAGATGTTTTATTGAGAAGACGATCACTACGTGACAAAAGTTTTCAAAACCGTTTCTGGTCTTCGGTATTTCCAGACAAGTGGCTGCTGAAATCAATCTTACTAACTGCTGTCTGTGCAATTTACTCCGCGAGTTGGCGGACTTTATTTTGCTTACTTTAACATCATTTTTCATGGTGGGGCTAAGCCATTTCTTGGTATGGCTGTAGCCTACCCCAGCCATACCCTGGCGCCGCCACTGCACACAATATGAGCCGGTTGCCTCATTTCATTTCATATTTGTATGATCAAGTCAAGAAAAAAAATCTAATCCAAAAGGAAGAAACATCCATACTGATATTGCCTTTCCATTAAGTATGATCTGACCATATAAAAGACAAACAGAGATGTGGTGTTTTGGATTCAACCCTAATCCTGACAGATCTTTGTAGCCATACTCCTGTTTAATCATTTTTAAGACTGAATGCCTGCAGACATCGTTTTAGCATGCACATCCAGAATATCCAAGTGTAGGGGAAGCCTAGGTTGATGCACAGGTCATTCAGCCATTAATGGCTTGTAAGATCAGAATTGCGCCCTGTTTTTCTTCAGAGCTTCAGAAGTGTGTCATGAAATGATATGATATAAATAAGCCAATATAATGCTTTGTTGCAGGTAAATTTACTTGTATTGAAGTGCGGTTCCACCTGGAGCGTCAGATGGGCTACTACCTGATCCAGATGTACATCCCCTCTCTGCTCATTGTCATACTGTCCTGGGTGTCCTTCTGGATCAACATGGATGCTGCCCCAGCCAGAGTGGCTCTGGGCATCACCACAGTGCTGACCATGACCACACAGAGCTCCGGCTCCAGGACCTCACTGCCTAAGGTCTGTGATTCTGGATTGTAGCACACGTCTGTTCATCTGTCTCTATTAGTCTGTCCTCCCTCTATCCCCACACATGCAGGCTAGGTGAGGTCGAGACTCTAAATTGCCTATAGGTTTAAATGTGAGTCGGAATGGTTGTCTGTATGTATTTGTCAGTGTCGTGGCTTCCTTCCTTGTTTATCTATTAAGCCACTAGACGCCTAAAGGACCCTACACACCAAGTTGACACCAAAGAACACGACTGTTGTCGCCTCACGTCTCCTGCGTCTTGGCCATGTGTCGAACTGGAACACACCGCAAAGACTTCAGCCAACGGCCAAGTAGCACGTACAAACTGCGCATGCGTGAGTGGCAATAACTCTCCTTACCAGCAGGCGGCTTTAGTGTGTATTTGTCATTCAAAAGAGGCAACCGGAAGACAGACTGCGTGATATATACAAAATGAAATAAACTATTTAAGCATTGTGGCTGTCAACCTTAAAGTACTGCTGCTACCACATTCCAAGCATCAGTAATTATAATCCAAGATTATATTAATATACAACATCATAACACTGACAGGCAAATGATGTATCATCATGTACATCTGTATCTTCTGACTTGTATTGTAGTATAGCTAATTGTATCCTCATTCTAATGTGTTATCTAATGGCTGTAGAATGAAGGTACGAAATAAAGTTTTGTATTTTGCAGTAGCGGTAAAAAGTGGTTTATTATCAAATGTAGAACAATCAATGTGTCAATGTAAACAATATCAATGTAAACAATCGACTAAAATACAATAAGATAAAAATAGTAAGTAATAGGCCTACAATAAAAAAAATAGCCATATCGTCCAGGGTCCTGTCCGTTAAATACTTGAAGAAGCTATTGTCCACCTCATGCAGGAAATGTGGCAGCAAATGACATGGCAACTGAGTTGGTCTTCGGTTTCTTCATTCCAGATCGCCATGATGTAAAATAAATTCTTGCGTCCAGGTGAGATGAAAATGAAAAATAATAGCCGTCTGTGTGTGCCTTCTTTACTTCCGTTTCGCTTCTCATGCACTGATTCGCTAAGCTGAACAGCCAATCAGAGTGATTTCCTTTGCCGACAGCCTTTTGCCGACAGCTCCCCGATTCGACATGTTGAATCGAGGGTGGAGGGTGTCGGCACGGCCGAAAAGACACGACGGTGTGGGACACCCCAATCTGAGTAGGGTGACAGGACGCTCATCGACGGCCAGACATCTATCGACATCTATCGACGGCCGAAATCGGCTTGGTGTGTAGGGGCCTTAAAACAGACCGTTTTCTTCCTTTATATTTGTGTTACTTACAGTTTGAAGATTTGCTTGGCCTCCGATGGTTTGGATGGTATTAAGCGATGGGTTTGCTCAAAAATAAAATAACAAACTTTTACATGTGCAACAAAGAAAAGAGGCCTTTACAATATTCAAAACAAATAAGCAAAACTCAAATAAAATAACAAACAACTTAGGTATTCTTTCTTCTTGATAAGGCTTATATAACTTAATAACTTAAAGGGTAGTTTTACGGTTAAAAACTGTTCCTCGACGGCGTCTTTCTAGCAGATTGCCCATCACTGTCACTTTTAGAGGAGGCGCCGTGGGATTTGTAGTCTTTTATAGTGCGTTGACTACAGACGTCACAATTAGGTGGCCTTTCTTATAAAAAACTAAATACTGGCTCTGATATTCTGGCGATACAGGGCTTTGCTCTAGATCCCTGCACATAAGTAAGCCAAAATAGATATACAGTGAGTCTGCTGTAGTCAAGGGAAAAACCTAAAGTCTTTCTTTGGGAACTCCAACATGTAGCTAAAGAGTATTCATCAAGATACTGACCTGGAATCCGGTTTTTCGTTAGCCGGTTTTTAGCTGGTAAAATGTATTAAAAAAAACGGTCAATTCAAAACCTGCCAGTCAAAATGTCCGTTAATAATGCTCATACAATAATGCTTAGATAATGTAGGCTCAATGGCGTTTTTAAATGTACAAAACTGGTGGGGCACAACAAACAACTTATTATTTAGCGCTGGTGATGTACAGTAGTCAAAGCTCTCTCGTCTCCTCTTCATAACTACACTTTTCGAGGCACACACACACTTACAGCCAATCAGCTCTGACTCATGAGATGACGTTTTAGTGGAGCTGCAAGCGCTTTGCCCAACTTTTTTTTGCCTGACACACATTGAATGAAAAACTACTCTGAGCATGCGCAGTGTAGTTTTCACAGCCAGTGGCACCCCAAGACACTGGGGCCCCAGGCAGAAGGGAAATGCCATCAAGCACAACCGACAGTATGAGCGCATACAGATGCATGTGAACTAGGGATGTTAAGATTCACAGATTCGGTGCACCGACATAAACGTTAGAAATGCGAGTGCACCGGTTGAAAGAGTGCACATTGAATACAGTTTGGGTTGAACTCGCGATGCATCGATTGTAGCGTCTTTGCATCGGTAAAACTATTCATTCATATAATATCCTCTCATCCTGTCAGCACTCAGCAGAGACGATCTTTGATCTTTGCTTCGCACTACGGAGGCCGAGAGTCTCAGTGATCAACACACATGGAAGTCGAGGAGAAAGAGAAACACAACGCACCGAAAAATAGCTACAAATCAAACGTCTGGCAACACTTCGGATTTTTCAAGAAAGACGGACAACTTGACAAATCGCAAGCAAATTGTAAATGATGCCGTGCCGCTTTAAAGTACACAAGTACGAGGAACTTAGCGACGCACATAAAGAGGCGACATGGGGTCTGCGGCTGAAAAGAGAAACCTGAAAGTTAGACATATGAGTGAAATCACTCAGTGAGGTGTTCTGTCAGAGAGAGTGGTGGGTCAGGACCTCGACACAAACTGATGAACCCAAATGCACGACCCAGAGACAAAGTCTTGAATATAAAAAAAGGTATATTTATTTTCACAGTTCAGGTCATTCCTCTTAACAGAGTAGGTGGTGGAGATAACAAAAAACGCTCTCAAGGAGGACAAAACTAGCGTAACAAAAACAGGACTTAATAAAAACTTAAGCCAACAAAAAAAATAACAAAACCTGACATGAGTGAAAAGCGATCCTTTCAGAGCTGAGGCTTGGCACGACCATTCGGGGAAACAAACAAAACAAACTGACACAGGACAGGGGAGAGACAGGACTGTTTGAACATGAGGTGAGTGGATGGCGCCTGATGATGGCGGGAAAAACACACAAAGGGAGGAACAAACAGGGCCTGAAATGAAAGACAAGAGGTAAATACAAAATAAAACAGGAAATGACAGACAAAATACATAAACAAACTAACACATTTGACGAGACACAACATGGTGTTTAGTATACAGCAGACTGTGACTGCCAATAATAGTTTAAATGTCTTCCTTACTGTAAGCCAGGGGTGGCAAACATACGGCCCGCGGGCCGGATCCGGCCCGGGAGGCATTCCAGCTTGGCCCACGGAGCTGAAGGATTTTGCTAAGTAGGCTACTGTATGAGAGGAGGGAAAAAAAACTGCTATTTTGAATCCTTCCACTAGTGGGCGCACTACCGCACCGGTACCAGTGAGAGCGCAGCCAGACTGTAAAAAAAAGTGATGAGTAAGAGTAGTGATTGCAGTCAATAACCTCTGACACTCTCATCCCCAAATGTCTCTGTCAAAAAAGAGAAAAGTGGACACGGAGTGCCGAGTTTTCCAAGAAAAATGGACCGCATCCTATTTTTTTACAGAGGTAAATGGAAAACCTGTATGCTTGGTGTGTTCGCAGCAAGTTGCTGTGCCCAAAGAATATAATATTCGCCGCCATTATGAGACTCACCATGGAGAGAAATACGACTGCTTGCAAGGACAACGGAGAAAAGAAAAGATAAATGACCTGCTATCAGGTCTAAAGAAACAACAGGCCGTTTTTACCCGGAGCCGAGATATAAGTGACGCAGCCGTGAAAGCCAGCTATCTCATTGCTAACGAAATAGCATCAGCCTCAAAGCCATACTCTGAGGGTGAGTTTGTGAAAACATGCATGCTGAAGGCTGCAGAAATCGTGTGTCCTGAGAAGCGACAGGCTTTTTCCAACATTAGTCTAACGAGGAATACAGTGAAGGATAGGATTGCCGATCTTTCAGCAGATTTGGATAGCCAGAAAAAAATAAAAGTCAAGTCATTCGTAGCATTTTCAGTTGCAATCGATGAGAGCACTGACATTACAGATGTTGCTCAACTGGCCATATTCATTCGTGGTGTAGATGAGACTTTGACGGTCACCGAAGAGTTCCTTGAGTTGGTTCCTATGACAGACACCACTAAAGCGGATGACATTTTTAGCGCTCTCGTTGAAGCACTGGACAGGGTCGGAGTGGACTGGACCCGTGCTGTCAGTCTGGCTACAGACGGCGCACCATCAATGATCGGGAAAAAAGCAGGTGTTGCCACGAAATTCAGGGAGAAAGTACAAGCAGCAAATGGAGGAGATCGTTTTTGGACATTCCACTGTATTTTGCACCAGGAGGCATTGTGTTGCAAGACGTTAAAAATGGATCACGTCATGAAAGTGGTTGTCCAAACTGTTAATTTCATCCGAGCCAGAGGGCTGAATCACCGTCAGTTCGACAGCCTCCTCAGTGATAAAGACATCACCTGTAGCCTACCATATCACACTGAAGGTGGTTGAGCCGAGGTGCCGTGCTGAAGCGTTTTTCTGATCTACGCGAGGAAATTGGACAGTTCATGGAGAAAAAGGGTAAGCCAGTGCATGAATTAAAAAACCAGAATGGCTGCAGGACCTTGCATTTATGGTGGATATTTCAGAGCACTTGAATAATCTGAATATAACGATGCAAGGTCGCAAAAAAGTTGTCACAGAATATTATGACAGCATACGCGCATTTAAGTTGAAGCTGGCTTTGTGGGAGACACAGCTGTCAAGTGGTGACCCTGCTCATTTCCCTCATCTAAGAAATGTGCATATGACCGGAGTTACTGCTGACATGAGTCGGTAC